AAAGATTTACTTCTTTACTTGATCTTTGTACTGCCACCATCAAGGCCAATCCTGCGTGCTCTTATCAATTTACGGGACGATCGACAAACACGGAACAGCCTGGATTCGCTGAACCGTAGGAAATAAACCAGGCCCGGAGCAAGCTGCGTTTTCTTCAGCGCTTTCTTGCTCCCCCTCACCTTGTAAAGGACACTGCGGTCTCCCATCACACGGCCTTGGGAGTGGACGTGTTCGTTGCCTCGCTTCCCTTTCACAATCACGATGCGCTGCAGATCAGGAGGGATGGTGATCTCCCATGTCTCTTCTGTTGTCAGGTCCTAGGTGGGGGGGAATACCCAGCAGGTCAAAGGCTGCTGACTCCTCGTAATGCTCCTGTCTGCACTCCCTCCTCTAACTGTCCCAACTGCTCACGTGGAAAGAAGCTTGACCCAGAAAGTCTGGCTCTGAGGCCCAGCCCCTTAGCCTCTGTACTTTTGGGACGGTCGGCAGTCCCCACAGAGGAAAAGCGGGGAAGAGCCCTGGAGCTTGAAAGCCCAGCCGGAACAGGATCAGGACAGCCAGAGAATTTCCCCTCATCTAAAAAATCTTACTGCCCGCCCATTCATTGACATCCCCCCCACTTAGGAATCAATGAGCCGTACCTTCCTCAACCGGCGCCCCATCAACTTCCCCCGTTTGGCGTCGGCTAGATAGAACGAGATGGACGGCGCCATTTCCTCCAGCTGGCGCAGAACGTTCCTGGTGGCTGGGAACACGGTGACCTGCCGGACGGAGTTAAGGGGGAGCGAATACAATGGAAGGCTTCTCCAGCAGATTCCTGGAATCCCAACCCCTCTCCCCTCCCCTCCCCTCCCCTTCCCTCCAAGAGTGCAGGAAAGAGGCGGCACCTTGTATTCGTCATCGATCAGAAGCAGCACTTTGGCATAATCCTGGTCCATGATGGGAAGCAGGACCGACTGAAGGATGGGGCGAGTCAGCACTGGGGGCGCCACTTGGCTCCACTTCCCAAAGATGGGGTTGAAGACGTAGAGCTTGCTGAGTCCCGACTCCTGAGAAGCACCGGGCAGGGGCTGAGCACACGCTTGGACGTCCCAGATCCAAGAGCACGCTGGCTGCGTTCCTGGCCAGGGGTGCCAAGAGCTGGCACCTTTCTCCCCCACCCTCGTCTCATTCCCTCTTTTCCGCTTGGGAGAGCCTAAAGCGGGATCGGCTGGCAAGAGGCGGCACCAACCTTGTCCTTGACCAGCAGGGTGCACTGCGGGGGGTGGGGGAAATGCGCCGTCGTCCTCTGGACCATCAGCTTAAAGGAAGAGCCGGGGCGCACATCCTGGAGGAACTGCTTCCACAGGATCGTCCCCGAGCTGCTCTCTATTCCGAAGAGCTGGAAAGAAGACAAACTCCAAATGAAGCGGGGGTCAAAGCGGGTCTGGAGGTGCTCTGGATATTGAAGGCCTCTCCCTGGCCTTGGGGGGAAAGAAGGGGATAGCTGGGTGGGCATCAGGAAGCCCCCCGATGTTGGATTGGGCCATCCTGCCCAGTGGATTGAATGTTGTCTCTCTCTCCTGGAAACTGGGCATGGGGCCGTTTGAGGCAAAGCAAACACTCTGTCGCTTTGGGCTCGTATAACAGGACCCTTCTTACGTTCTCCCTCACCACCAACATGAGGAGCAGCATCTCCACCTCCAGGAGCAGTCTACCAGGTTCTGAGGACCAGCAGAAGGTCGTAGTCCTTGTGTCCTGCTGGTGGGGCTCTTCCAAGGTCTCTAACCGGCCCCGGTGAAAAGGGCAGGGTGAACCAGCCCCTCTCCTCACCTTTCCCGAGGCTGTGACGATCACAATCATCTTCTGCAGGTTGAACTCATCCCGGGCTAAGTTGTCGATGTTGATCTCGTTCTTCGTCTGGCTCCGGGGCTTGCGGGCATTGTAGAACATCTTCCAGAGGTGGGTGGTCCAGGCCTGAAGCAGGATGAGCTGGGAGGACAAGCGCTTGAGGAACATGCTCAGCAGCCCGTCTGAAAAAAGGAAGAGAAGCCATGGGGGACGACTGAGGAGGGGCCCTGAGGGAAAAATCTCCCTCCTGCTACCCCAGAAAATAGGACCGCAACAGCAATATGGTCACGGTGCTTTGTGTGTTTCTCAAACTCCACATGGAGCTGAGGAAAACTGGAGAGTAAGGCCTTCCTGTAAACTTTAAAGTTAGCTCTGAAAGATGTTTTGCAGGAAGGCCCGGAAGCTCACCCAAAAGAGAAGAAATTTCGCCACAGGTGAGCTGGAAGGTTTATTTCCAGGCTTCTGTGCACACGTCAGGCACAACTAAACACATGGGACATCATTCCTGAATCAGAAATGGCAGCAGGTTGTGCCCCCCTCTCTCACACACAGAACACACTCAAGCAAAACAGGACGTAGGACATTCAGGGTTACCTTGAATGGCTGATTTCCAGGCAGCAAAAAGGAAACAGAAAGCAGGAAATAATTCAACATTTACTCTTTGGAGGAGGTGGAAAGAAAAAAAAAAGCCAAACGTTCGGAGAAATAGCAGCCCAAAGCACACACAACGGCAAAATAGCTTTGCAGATTCTTTTCTCCCAAGACGTCCTTGTATCTCCTGATCAAACGGGTGCACGATTCAAATTTAATTTCAGGGAACAGACCTTTGACCTTGTTTAGGAAAATGCTCCACTGGGTGATCAACAGTAGGCTTACTTCATAAGTATTAGCACCAACCGCCTCAGCAGAACAGCCCTCCCCCCACTTCCCTCCTTACCGGCTTTCTTTCCAAATTCGCCCTCCAGTTCTGCCTGGGCCCCTGTCAAGGGCAGGTCGACCATCTCCAGGCTAGCCACCTCGGCCAGGGACTCTTCCTTGCTCCACCAAATTTTTCCTGCAAAGAGGGAGACGCATCAAGGAGAGCCGAAAGCTGCTGGAACGTCCCAGGGCAGAGCAACGGAGGAGGAAGAGCTGTGAAGCGGAGGAAAGCCCAAAGGGAGGAGCCCAGCTCTGCGTCTGGAGAGATACCTGGCTGCTGGAGGAACAAAAGCATATGATCCTCTGTCTGCACCAAGGCTCGGTAGCCCACGGAGTCGTCTTTCTTCAAAAAGACCTGAATGTAAAGCTGCAAAGAGAACAAGGGGATGAGCAACGGAAGAGGACGTTCTCTACTTGCGATCCCGGGCAAGGAATTTTTTATTAAAAAAATGCAACAGGCGGCCTTCAGATCCCAAAGGCTCCCACAAGCGAGGAACGCCCTCGTCGGGCGATGGCTGCGGGCTGAAATGCTCCGGGAACAAACCCCGCTAATCCGAAGAGCCGTTACCCTCTCTGGCTTGGTGCTGCTTTTCTCCAACGTGAATGTGATGATGGTATCCAAAAGTCTCTGTCCAGTTTCAGCCAGGTACAGATTGATGGTGTAGGTCTGGTTGGGGCAAGACTGGGCCTCCTGCAGGGCGTTCCAAGGGGAGAGAATGAAAACAGAACAGCCTTCACCTTCTTACAACATGAAAATAACTGCAGGGGAGCAAAAGACATTTAACTGCATGCTTTGGATTAAAAACATACACCCATTTCAGGCAGCCTCAGACTTCCTTTATGGCTCATCTGGGCAAAGCGAGACTCAGAACCATTTACAAACTCAGAGGAGGCCACAAACCACAGCTTAACCCAGTATGTTAATTCCAAACCGTCATTTCAGACACTGCTTTGGTGGCCTTGTAAATTTTATCTCCTGCACTTTTAATATAGAATCTTCTAACGTGGCCAGGAACTACGAAGAGATGGGAAGTGTTTTTTCTCTATCTATCTAGGGACTTCACTAAAAAGTTGGGGGTTGGGGATTATTAGGGAGCTCTGCTTTCTGCAAAACATTCAAGACACAGGAAATGTTCACAATTCCAAAGCCTTAGATGGTCTACAAGGGCCCAAACACCCAACCACCCAGGCTGGTGGAATACCACAGCAAAGAAACGGAGCTACAAATTGGCAAATGTCACCTTCCCAAATTCACCAAGAGCCTTGAGCAAGTTATGGACTCTTAGCATTCCTACTGCAGCATGGGGACAATAGGGGCTCCCTTACAGGGCTGTTGTAAAAATCCCACCCCCAAAGAACGCTTTAAATACCTGAAAGCGCTATATATTGATTTAACTCAGCCCTCCCTGACTCGGTGCACAAATGAGTAGCTGAGACGGGTTTTCATAAGTTTTATAATGTAGCAGGAAAAAAAGGGCTGTTTTTGGATACCGTATCCGTGTTGCAAAACAAAATAAAATAAAAAAAGGTAAAGGTTTTTCATCCAACCCGCTCCCTAGAGTCCTGAGAAAATCAGCTGCATTTCAAAGGCGAGGCCGACGGCCCATTTCACACAGCGATGCGTATCTGTATTTACCCCTTCGCCCTTGCAGGTGAGGACGGCCGCCACAGTCTTCTCGCCAGTAGTTGCAAAGGTCACGAGGCTGGCCTGGAGACGCAATGCGGAGAAAGAGAGGGAAAGAATTCGACAAGTTACGAAGGAGGACTATCCAGTCACAGACTACCAATCCCTCTATGTAAAACACGAGGGAGAAGGATTTTCACCTTTTTTCCCCTGCAGGCTAGTACCTTTTCCCATCGTGGAACCTCCCAAAATGCCACTGTAATGTCTGAAGAAACAGACCCGCACCGAGCTGACTTAACTAACTGTCCCAGGGAAGCATAATTGGGAAATAGAGTTGTTTTCCTTCCAGAAGCACAGAGGCCTGCTTAGGATCCACTTGGAATAGCTTCCAATTCCCAGAATTCCCCAACCAGCAGGCTTTAAGATGCATGGAGGACCCCCAGAATTCTGGGAGTCGAAGTCCACACATCGAAGTTGCCAAGGTTGAGAAACAGCGGCGTAGAGTGCAGAGGCTATGAGAGTCCCACCCCCAGTGCATTTCCACACGACCTGGCAAGTGTTTCTTGAGGAGGAAGGAAGGAGGATCAAACCTAGGAGACTTCAGCCTCCCTCCGCCCTTCGCTCCAACTCCCAGACCCTCCGTCCTCACCTGTGGGAAGTTCCGAAGGAGGCTCAACACGCCGTTCCGATATTGCAGCAGGGCAAAGTGACTTGGAGACAGACGCAGAAAGAACTGGGCCCGGGAAGGTCTGGCTGAGTTCGGCTGAGAGGGCAGGATGTGGGGCTGGGAAACGTCAGCCAATTCCAGTCCAAGAGACTGCGGGGAAGGAAAAAGGAACAGGCTGGTCAGGCGGGCAAGCTACAGAGGAAGCGAAAACCTTTTGTCCAGGCCATATAGCATTATGAGCTGGCTGGCTGGCCACAGTTGAAAGGAACAACCCCCCTCCCCGCTCCCCCAGATACAGATATCATTTGATTGCTCCATTCCAGGGTCCAGTTCCAGCTCCTTGCTCCACATCAGAGAAAATACAAGGAAACATCTGGGGAACCTCTCAGTCTTGCCGAACCGGACAGGCTGGCTAGAGACCAGCCCGTTTCTGGGCCCCTCACCTGCAGCGGAACCTCCTTCATCTCTTCCTCTGCCTCCAGAGACAAGGTGTAAAGGGACTGGGTGGCTGGGTTCATGCACACAAGCGTAGCTTCTCCTACGATGTTGCAAGCCCCAACTAGATTCCTCACCCAGGGAGCTGCCACCCTGACCTACAGAAAGCAAAGAGAGATTCTTATTCCTTATCCCAACCCACCATGCCAGCTGAGAAGAATCTCTGGGCAAGCAAAGCCAAATCTGAATAGGGATGGCTTCATACCTTTTAAAATTGGGAGACAATTAACTGCCAGCTTAATGGCACAGGCGCAACGAAACTACTGATGCTATTGTAATTTTACCCTAAGAGAAGCCTGTCTGTGAGATTGTTATCTTCCCCTCTGCCAGCCAACCTCCCTGCCAGCTTGCGAAGGAAATCCCATTCGAAGCCAAACTCTCGCTTTACCTGTCTAGTCATTTCACCATCCTCAATGCTGAAGGTCAGGATGCTGAGGTGGCTCTGAGGAGCAACTCCGACAACGTGCACCACTCCCGTTCCGTGGGAATACACCAATTGATACTGGACAATCTCGCTGATAAGGAAAAGCAGATGCGAGTTAACATAGCCAGGGTGCCTCCTTTAACCCATCCTACCCCAGCCTAGTCTCTCCCAGAGATGCTGAACTCCTGAAATCTCCCAGCCAGAATGAAATCATTTTTAACACTTGATTTAAAGTACACGGAATGAGAGACAGTCCTGCAGATACTCGAGGTGACTTGTGTTCAATCAGTATTACGGGTAGTCCTCGTTTAGCAACCGCAATTGGGACCGGCAACTTGGTTGTTAAGTGAAGCGGTCACTAAGAGAAACAGCAACTGTGCTTACGATCTAACTTCAGCTTTCTTTTGCTTTACAGACCTGTGAAGGTCGTAAATGCGAAGACTGACCATAAAATTACTTTTTCATCACATCGCTATTGTAACTGCAAACAGTCATGAAATGAGGCAGTCGCTAAATGAGAACTACCTGTAATCTACTGCCTGTCGCTAAGACAAACTGAGCCAAAGCGCAGAGAATGTGCTGAACAGAACAGAATATCGCTGCTTTGCGATAACGAATACGTACGAGCTGTTTTTTACAGTAAAACCTCTCCCGGGAGCCACGGAATCAACCCACCTCTCTGGTAAATGTTCTGTCCATTTCTGGTAACCGTTGGAGAGATAATGCAGCAGGAGAGAACCTTTCTTCAAAACGGCCACGTACTTCACAGCATCTTGGAGTCCCACCAAACTAGCCATCTGGAAGCTTAATTAAAAAAAAAAAAAGTTTAAATTGATTTCTTTACCCGACATTTAAACTAACCCTTCAGGGACCAAAAAGGCTCACCTGCCCGCGTCCATCAAAATCTCCCAATTCAGGCCGCCAATGTTGGTCTCCCAAGAGCGCAGGATACGACCCCCGTTGGAAACCGTGATGGCATCTACGAAGGGCACAGAAGCGCAACCCAGCGCGTCACGGTCCGCGACTGGCCCTGCCGAACCTTCCCCTCGAGCGTTTCTTTGAAACCGGCCTTCCAAGGAGGCTCTTCCGTGTGTCGGCTCAACCGAGGAAGGCTACCGCCGAAGACCGCGAGAGAAACGGCCCCGGGAACGCAAGCCCCCTCCTCACCTTGCCCGTGGAGCAGCATGGCGTCCACCGCGCCCTCGGCCGTCCCTTTGTCCACGTGTCGCCACACTAGAGACAAGCCAGAGTCAGGCGGGAGGCGTCTGAAACGCGCCCGCGCGAGCCCCGGGGGGACCCCACCCTTGGCGGGGAAGCCGCCCCGCCTCAGGCGGGCGCGGCGGGGCACTCACGGATCTCGCCCGTGCGGGAGTTCAGGGCGGCCACCACGTTCTTCTCGGTCGCCACGATCAGCTTCTTGGAGGCGGGGAAGGCCTCCAGGAAGGCGAACTTCAGCTTCCCCACGTACTGCTGCCGCCTGGAAACGACGCGGAGAGGAGGCGCCATTTCGCGGGAGGCCCAGCCTCAGGCCCCCCGGGGACCCCCCCACCGG